GTTACTTACTTTCAGAAACCTCATTCTGGTCCAATTCAAAGGCTTTCCAATAAAATGACGACGCCCTGTTGGCTTAAGCCCGACGTACAATGTGCGATTTTCGAGGCGATTTTCCAGTCGTGCGAGAATTTTTCGATCGGGCCGACTTTCAGCCTCAGAGTCGTGTAGTGTACAGGGGGTTACGAGCAGCGATCAGCCTCTCAAGACCACTTCCCGATAAGGAATCGTGAGGTCGGGAGAAAATCAAACATGTTTGATTTTCCCCCGACCGTCGTGGGCTAATCGCTCAGTGGGCAAAGAAGGATTCTTCTTTTTCTTCTTCCTCTCAGATGTAAACACAGCAGCATGGCGGGGATGCAATGAGTGAAATGCAGTTCTGTCTGTAAAATTGACGGAGCGTAGTAGCCACATCGTCGCCTTTTCTTTTTAAGACTTTCAGCACAAAATTGCACAAATTATAAAGGCAGTGCGGTTCACTCTAGTGAGCTTCATTTTCCCCTTCTATTTGTTCGGCTTCCGGATAGACGAGTCAGAGCAGCTCCATCTCACTGTGGAGCTGAGTCCAACGTGGTTTTTAGACGTACAGTGTGAGCAGGTAGATCGCAGAGCGTCGGGCCGAACATAAATCGTGAGCTGTGAACTCACACTGTACGACGAAACCCTGCGATTAGTCGAACAATGTGAGCAGTAGCTGCGTGCAACGATTGAAAAAAATCGCACGGTGTACGTCCGGCTTTATTGTTTTTTCTCTGGTTTTTTCACTTTGTTTTTGTTTCATTGTGTTAACTGAAAACTCTGTTTACACCTTGAAGCTTTCTCTCTCCATTTTGTTTCCTGAAAAGAGATCACTCGGGACAAACTCTTTAAATAACCCTTCGTAACGTATATGTAATACAAAACCATAAGATATGACAACAGATTTTGATAGAAATTGTAATCTTACTCAGATCAGAAAAGTTGCTTTGGGTTACAAAAGGCAGCTGCTTACCAACCGTGCTCACGTCTCGGGAAGTGGCCACGATTAACAATTAAAGAAGTATTTTATACAACTCCAGTCTGCCACATCATCATATTTTACATCGTACACGTTAGCAGATGAGGAGACATCCATGGCTCCAGCCTTATCAATATATTACACTTTGTTCTTAGCTGAAGGAGGCCACTCTCATTCCATTCCCAAATCTCTGCCACGTACAGAATGAAGATTATAACTGTATATAGCCGGACCGAGGAACTGGGCTAATTAGATCAACTACTGGGGAAAACATCAGCATGCAGCTAAGATTAAGGTGTAATAAACTCATAAATCATAAATCATAATTATCCTAACAATTGCTTAGTAAACGTACAGGTTTTACATGCTCAATAAGTGAGAAAAGGAAGTAATNATCATAAATCATAATTATCCTAACAATTGCTTAGTAAACGTACAGGTTTTACATGCTCAATAAGTGAGAAAAGGAAGTAATAAAGCAAAAAGAAAGTCAGCAATTCCCCAGCAGAGGTTTAAATTTAAGAGGAAAAGTTCACGATCAAGTGTGAAAAAGCAGAACAATGGCAAAAAAATGATTACATTGCCATAATGTTTTCAAACTTAAATCAGCAAATCTAATGAACACCAAACAGGTTCAGCAGATCTTTTCCTGGGCAGACTAAATGCAGAGATACATTTTTTTTTTTTTTTTTTTTTATAAATGTGGCATAAAATGGGGAGAAATAAACTGTTTTATTTTAACACTATAAGATACAGAGAGAGTAAATAAATAAATGACAACATACTGGAGAGAAAAAAATAAGTTGTTAAAATTGTTGTTTTGTTTCTCACCATTGTCCTGGATGATGCGTTTGAGGTAATCGGCCATCAGGTTCTTCAAGGCACGTTTGTAGGGCAGACCGAGGCGGTGAGGGAACACGATGGCGGTGTCAACGACCGAACTGTGGATGAGCTGGAATAGAAGAGAGACAAACACAGATAAAACCAGAGGCTTCCACACTTTTCAGCTTCTGACTCACGAAATGGTACCAGAGTTGCCTGATGACCCAAAACGTTCGTCCAGTTTAAAACATTGACGAGAGTATCACGATGAGTATCATGGTGTTACAAACAGCATCAAGGAATTGGTTTTGACCATTTTTAAGACGATGTGTTCATCTTGTTGCTCCTAACTCACCTGTTTAGCTGCCTTTCTCTATTATAAAGGAGCCACTATAGGAGCTCCTACTTTAGCTACGCTTATATGTTTCTCGCACATAGAAAGTACACCCTAGTTCACTGCTTCTTTATTCCTTTAGAGGCTGCTAACGCTGAGCCCGGTTCTGGTTCTGCTGCAGGTTTCTTACTGTTTTTTTCTCTCCACTGTCACTACATGCATGCCCGGTGTGAGGGATTGCTGCAGAGTAGAGACTGACACGGGAGTGGATTTTCACTCCTGTCCCGTCCCACTCCCACAGAAAAAAATTGTGTCCCGTCCCGATCCCGGGCCAGAGTAGAAATCTAAATCCTGTCCCGTCCCACTCCTGGTGAAATCACTCCAACTCCCATCCTGCTCCCATTCAGAATGACTCCCGCTCCCACACTACTCCCATTCTTGTTTTTGAGCGCGGGTGAAAAACTCAGGGTGGAAGCACTGTTGGTTTTTGGGTCGTGTAGTTTTTTTGACTCGCATTATAGTGTAGGCTTCAAGGAAAAAAACTACAAAATGGCGGCGCCAGTACTGGATTTGTTTCTTTCTATTTTATTTTATTTTTTGGCATCGATCCTAGTTTTTTTTTTTTAGTTATTATTGGTTTGCTCCCGCTCCCGTCTGCTCCCGTTAATGTTTAATCCTGTACCGTCCCAATCACGTGATCGTTACTAATACTGACTCCCATCCCTCGGGAATCCTGTGACCCGTGGGATTCCCGAAAAAATGTCAGTCTCTACTGCAGAGTCAGCAGCACAGTGCAAGCGATGCAAAGCTAATGACTCGCAGTAGTCAGCTGGGTTTCCTAAGATGGTAAAATGTTCCAATCAGCCTGGATAATTTGATATGACAGTTACTGTTAGATGCCTTGAGATGTGTGTAAAAAAATATTTTGGCTTTGTTTTACAGAAGGAAAAAAAATTAGCCTTTAGTTAAATAAGCTGGTATCTATCAAGGACAGATTCCCCTTTTTTTACCACTTTTTTCTTCCTCTTAACTTTCCCTAAATACACAAAGACAGCCGTCTGAACAACCAGATTTTCTGCAGTGACCTTCTCTAACTTCCCTCTCTCCAGTTTTCTTCACAATTGTACTGAACAGAACATGTCTGTGACAAACATTTTTTTTCTATTTATATGTAAAAAATGTTTTTTTCTGATGATATTTAATGATATTTATTCTCATTAACTCTTCAGCCAAAATTAATCAAAACCCTTTCTTAGTGACTTTTGGTGATCTGAGTTTTGTGATAAATTTAATGATATTCTAATCCAGAGGTTCCCAAAATGGGTTCAGGATTCGCTGGGAAGGTCTATCACTGAGTGGGGTTCACCAGGTGATTTCACAATCAACATAGTGAGATTCCTAAGGTAAATAAATGAGGGCCAAAAACATACCATGAAATAAGTGAAAATAAAATATTCAACGATGAAATATTATTACATAAAATTATTATTTTATTTAATAAACTTTATATTAAATTATTTAATTGATTTTTAAGAAAAACACATTAACTTAAAAAGGTTCATGTATTTTTAGGGTCTCCCCTCACCCTGGCAGCTGTTTTTTTGGGGTCACAGCCTGGAATGTTTGGGAACCCTGTTCTAATCTATTAAAAAGTAAATTATAAGATAAATGAGAGGTCAGATTATTAAACTATTAGTTGCTAAATTATCTGGCAGCTCCAGCATTCCTGCTTTCAAAACAGATTCCATTCCTTCTTAGGACTACGGAAGCCTGAATGAGGCTTTTCTGTGGTTCACATGCAGCTAAAACAATAAGCAGCTGAAGATGAAGCTCACCTTCAGCGCCAGCAGGTCGCTCTCCAGACTGTGACCGATGAGGATGGACTCGGCCCTGAACATGCTGAGCAGCACAGCCTGGACATCTCTCAGAGTGATGGTGGCGTTCACCAAGTCCTCCTCAGTGACGCCAGAGAATCTGTCAGAGATGCAGTTTATTCTCACTGACTCTCTCCGAGTTCACACGCTGCTGAGACTCAAATGTTTCCTCACCGCGTGTTGTAGTCAACTACTTTGCTCTCTGGCTTGACAAAGGTGTCGTAGATTACTTTCATCTCCGAGTCGATGACTGTCACTCTGGTCAGCTCCAGACCCTGCTTGGTATAACACTGATCACACAGACACAAGGAAATGGATCAGCTGTGATACTAAAGCACAAAAAACAGACCCAAATGAAAGTTTATGGTGTGACTTTCTGCATCAGCTGTAGAAGCAAACATCTGATGAAAAGGCAGAGCGTGGTCCTGTTTCAGGATCACTCACCATCTCACAGTCCAAAGCAAACACTCCTCCGTTTCCATCCACAGGCAGCGGCTTGCTGAACGTTGACACAAAGCCATCTAGGGACTCCTTACGGCCGTCCTGAACGTGTTGCTATGGTAAAACATTCAGATGAGCATAAAAAAAAAGACGAAATTCACACAATCTTAGTAAAAACAGTATTAGGAAAACTTCTCTTATTTACTTTCCCAATTTGGCATCCAGGAGCTCCCACAGCTGCTGAGCAACAGCTGTATGTGGTCTCCCAGCCTCCAGCGACTAAGAAAGAGGGGAATAAAACGTGTTCTTGAGTGTCTGAATCAGACAGAGAGAGTTATTTAAAATTCAGACTGAAATCCAAAGCGTTTACCTCGGTTCCTGCGTAAACGCCCCCAGTGGTAGCTACACTCCTCTTTCCGTATGCAGCTGCCGTTAACATTGATCTTATACTCTGCACCACAGCGACAGCAAATCTTGTTGAACGCTGGAGGAAAATGAGCAAAATACTTTAATTTAATGAAAGTTGATGATAATATACATTGCATGGGATAAAATGAGGTCTGTTATTAATCTACTGACGGTCTGGACTGATCTTTTTCTCTGGAAGGTTATGAATGATGGCCCTTCCAGAGGCCTCTGGGTTCGGCCTCGGGTATCCGTGCTCCTGCAGCTGTTCCTCTGTCATCAGGTAGGCCTTCAGCTTCCTGTATAGGTTAGCTCCTGTAATAAAAAAAAAAGGCAGCGCCTGGATGAGGTAAATTTACATTTTTCACATAATCAACTGGATTTAAAGCTGTTTCTATGCCACATACAAATATTTTTTATATTTAGTTAACATCACAGGACTTACTACATATGTCCTTTCCACTAATAATTCATATTTTATTGTGTCTTATTAAATGGCTGTGAAAATGTTAAAGAAGCAGCCTTTTATCATTGCTCTTTTCGAATACAGTCTTCCTGTTTTGTTCATGTAGAAAATGGTGGCAAAGATATTCTGAGCTTACAGAACCAAACAGGCAACAATTTTTAGTCTGAAGATTTGATGGAAGGATAAAAACAGCATAGTCTGGTCTGTTGGAGCAGATGATTTTTAAGCACTAAGCTCACTGGAGAATGGGGCAGGAAGCTGCTAAAGAGAAACTATTTCAAATCATTCTTTTTCTTCTTCTCTGAATCACCCATTTTTTTTTCTTTTTAGTTTTTTATTTTATTTGCTAGCTTAAACCAGACCTGCTTCTTTTCTCTTCTTTCACTTTGCATTGGGCCGCTCATGTTTCCCCTTATTATGCAAAACCTATAGAGTGACAAAGTGAGGTGAATAACCCAAAGTTACCATCAGTCACTTCGACCAATCAGTGGTTTGGGAATCCTTCCTGACCTCCCTATTGGTCACCTCATCCTGCCTTCAAAGGTTAAGCTCACTGTCTGCTGGTGGAAGCGTTTCGCTAGACATGTGACTTAGCACGGCGGACAGAGAATAAGTCCTACAGAGAGGGCAGGTAGTCTAAAACTAGATACAAACACATAAACAAGCTCACATACCTCTAACTGTCAAAATAAAACGCTTTTATAGTGCAGACTCCAAGTCCTCAAACAGACTGGTTTCTATCCTATGTGGTTGAATAATGAGGTAAATGGGTACAAAAACAATTTCTGAATTAAATTGATATCAGATAATCTTGGTGCTATTTTAGATCAAGACTTTTCATTTAAATCTCACATAAAGTTTCTAGACTTTCCTTCTTTCATGTCCAGAATTTTGCAAAAATTAGAAATGTATTGTCCAGTGGTGATGCTGAAAAAAAAAACAGTCCATACTTTTGTAACCTCAAGGCTGGACTATATAATGTATAGTTTTTTATATATACAATTCTTTACAATCAGGAAGTCCACAAACTAGTAAAAATCCTTTAACTGATCCAAAGTGCTGTTGATAATAAAAAATAGGGACAATATTTCTCCTAGCTTAGCCTCCCTTTGACTTCCTGAACTACATTTTAAATCGTCCTCTCACATATAACGCCCTACATAACGATGCTCCATCTGATATCAGAGATCTGATTGTTCCTTATATTCCTAATGCAACACTTTGCTCTCAATCTTCAGGTCTATTAGTGGTTCCTAGAACTTCTGAAGTAGAATGCTGCTATAGGGTTAGGCTGCTGGAGGACATTGGGGACACTTTCCTCACACTCTGCTTAATCCTACTTCTAACCTCCAATTGTGTAATATTTGTCAGTTCAACCCCCAACTTTATGTTCTGTCTGCATTTTCTCGCCATATAAGCTTCATCTGGTCTGATTCTGTTTTGCTCTGGGATCATTCTGCAGGGAGGTATTAGCTGAGTTGATGCCATCAACACCCAACGATTATAGATGATGGAGTTGGTCCTGTTTTTCAGTGCTTTGTCACAAGGGCACAGATTTTTGAACAGCAGGGAAAACACAAAAAAGATTTCAACTTAAGTTAAATTAGTGTAAACTGGACTTAAACTAGTGCTCAATTATATACTTTCACAATAACATGTTAATTTTAATTAAGAAGGCTATTAGATTAAATAAAAAGTGTTTATTGTTCAGTAATAGCAACATTAAAGCTGCAAACCTCCAGGCTTAAAATAGTTTTATTTAATATTTTCTCTATTTATCTATTATTCTATTTCTAATTATCTTCTATACTCTAAAATTGAAGGAAAACAAAAGGAGCAAGATGTTTATCCTGGTGATCTCCTTGTGATTTAGTTAAACTTAAGCCCAGTTAACGCATCCCCTGTGATGCGAGGTCATGGGATGGTAGCTGATGAGGGGGTAAACAGAACGAGAGGTCGTCACATGGCTGTTTGAACAGCTTGGGTGTTACAAAGATGCTGCTACAGCAGACGCTAAGCAACAGCGGAAAAAGAAAACAATAGAAAAAAAAAAACTATTCTCTCGTTTATTGGAGATATAATCTGCTGTCTCTGTGGTTTAGCATATGATCCAGGGACATATAAAGAGCTTATCCCAGAAAAATAACCAAGAAGAAATGAGCACATGTGTCTTGTGACTGCAAACAGAGACCGCTGTAGAGCCGCCCCTTCCTTACCAAACAGTTTCTCCTCCTGCTGTTTACCCGACCTGTTGACAGTGAAGCTGGTTGTGGCTGCGTGGCGGCCACCCAGAACCTCCTCGTGGGACTGAGCCCTTCTTTTTGCTGCAATCCCAGCATCCTCTGCAGAAAATACACAACAGATCCAGCAACATTCATTCATGAAACACAATTTCATCCATTATATTCAAGTGTAACTAAAGAAATGGAAATAAGCAAAGACCAATTGCACTAATATTAACGGGCATTTCATTTCTTTGTTCTTTACTGTATATAATTTCAAATAAAAACAGAATCATGTTAACATTTTAAAAACATTTCTGGGGGAGCATGCCACCGAACCCATTATTAAAGAAATGCAATTTCTATAATTCAATCTGAAAACAGAAATACAGAAATAACTATCTATATCTATCTATCTATCTATCTATCTATCTATCTATCTATATATATATATATATATATATATATATATATATATATGTATAGATATAGATCTATATAGATATAGATCTATATAGATATAGATCTATATCTATATAGATATAGATCTATATCTATATAGATATAGATCTATATAGATATAGATCTATATCTATATAGATCTATATCTATATAGATCTATATCTATACATATATATATATATANATAGATAGATATAGATAGTTGTAGATATATATAGACATATGTTTATATGCTAAGAAAATTCTAGAAAAAATAAAATCTGAAATTAAAATGAAATTTACCAATTTCCAATTATAAAATGTGTCCTTCACATGCAATAATAATGAAAGCCACTCCATACACAAGCAGGTCATGTCTGCCAGAAAAGAGATGCTTAAATAAAAATGATGGTGGAATGGATGTTTTTGAAGTTTCAGAGACAGCACAGTGTCCAAAGTAGATCAGTGTTGCAAAGCCAAAACAACAACATTGTGCATCATTTTTATGTTTATGTAGTTAGTTGAACCAAAGTCAGGGACAGTCAAAAAGTTACAGATATTCATCTAGTTGATATGGATTCTCTGTTTAGCTTGTTGAATATTAATAAAAATGACTGAAAATTAATTCTTGAGTCAGTTTAAGTATGACCATTAAGAACTCTGGGTTAGACTGAGGTCAAAATAATCAGTAACGGCCCTAAAAAGCTTTTATCCCTTGATCCTTATCAAGCCTTTTCTCCAGGAATCTCTGATTCAGGTTCAGATTTCAGTCCTTAAGTGTTTGTACCTACCAACAGTTATCTTTTTTCTTTGATATTTGATCAGTTAAAACTAGTGTTGTGCCGACGGCATACCTGGCTGTGCAGTATCGGCTAATACCGATA